AGGGCTTCTGGTGTCCTGGCCCCACTGGTGGACCTCCTGATGGCATCGGGTATTTCTGGCCACTGTGTGACACAGAGAGTTGGACTGGATGGGCCTTTGGCCTGATCCAACATTGGCGTCTCTTATGTTCTTATGTTCTTAATGCAAGTATCGACCCTGCTTAGCTTCCAAGCTCTGATGAAATCGGGGTTTTGTGAGCTTTTAGGGCTGCTACAGAAGAACTGTGTGTGCCCTCAAGACATAACTGTCTCATGGCGACCCCAGGACCAAGGCAAGGGATGTTCAGAGGTGGTCTGCCATTGCCTCCCTCTGCATAGCAACCCTGGTCTCCCTTGGTGGCCTCCCATCCAAGTATTAACCATGGCTAACCCCACTTGGCTTACAAGCTGTGATGGGATTGGGCTAGTCAATCTGCTGTAAATAGTAATAAAAACCAAAAATGGTTTTGTGGGAACTATGAAAAGGAGATCAAATCAGAACTAATGATTAAGCAAGGGTTTGTAATGACCTAAAAGAATGACAGCAGTTGTTTAGGCAAAAGTCCTGGTTTGATATTCTTTTCACAGTTCTCACAGAATCCCTTTTGATTTCTATTACTATTTGTGTGCACATGGCTTTGTATCAGTAGGTTCCCATTTAATATGTCAGAAAAGCACATGAAGAGGTTCGTAGGTGCCTACCAACTCTATTACAATGAATGCGCATTATTCCACTGAAAGCACCCTTAGACTGCCTTTATTCAGAGATGTTCTGATATTTTAGTCTCTTATCTTTCATAAGAAGACAATAATCATGCCCTCAGTACTGCCTGAAACGAACCACCACTAAATGCAAATACGTGTAGGAGAATGGCCTTGCTAGAGAACATAACCACACACACACACACATATACACACACAGCATTTGCACAACAATAGACACATGGCATCAGGGCTATTTTTGGGCAGGAACGCACAGGAACGGAGTTCCGGCTGGCTCCTGAGTTGGCCACGCCCAGCAGGAACTCATTAGCATAATAAGCCACACCCAGCAGCAGAAGCTCATTAGGATTGGCTACATTAGGGGTGTGTGGCCTAACATGCAAAGGAGTTCCTGCATCAAAAAAAGGCCCTGGGTTTTGACAACAAACAAGGTAAACAGAGTAACAAGCAAAAGGTGGGTGTGGTTGGGTGACCACACTTCTGGTAACATGGGGGTGCGGCCTAATATGCTAATGAGATGTGGTGTCAGGGGTGTGGCCCAATATGCTAATGAGTTCCTGCTGGGCTTTTTCTACAAAAAAAGCCCTGCATGGCATTGACTCCTAACAAGTTCTTGCTCAAGTAGAAGATGCTTCAGCTTGGGCAAGGGGAGGCATATCTGATATTTGTGGATTTTCCCTTCAACCGGCACCTGCCCTTGCTTCATCTCACACTATTCCTGTCATTGCATTTGGTGTAGAAGGAGCGTTACAAGAGGAAATGATCATCAGGTCTTCATAGTTTGTCATTATATGGGTATTTAGGGAACAATTATAT